TGCATAACAGAGGTGGGGAAATATAAAAAATATTTTGTCTGGGTTGGTTCCAAGGAATTGACAAATCCTTTTCCTTCTATTCTAGTTCTTGTCTTTTTTCTTTGAACTTTCATTTTCAAGACAGGGAGTAAGATCTCAGAAAACTCTGCTGCGCTCTTTGAAGATGTTCAAAATGGGATTATTTTGCATCCTAAAAATTATCCCTCCATCCTGTGTCTCAAAGATTTTCCTAAATATGGATTCTGGGGTTTTTTTTCTGACTTCAGTAAACTGTGTAGTCTTAATAAAATCTAGGGTGGAAGTAGCCATTGATAGGTTTGATGAAGATGCTGTTCTGATAAATGGGTAAATGGTTTGTCAGGAATAGAAGTGGTAAGCAGAATCTCTGTGTATTGAACCCTTACAGCAATATTTTGGACATACTATTGTCTATTAGAAAAAAAATAAGCAGCCTAAGGCAGTAAAATGGGGATTACATATCTTATTGGTGAGAAACATAGTAATGCTTGGTGCTGTTCTTGTTGATTGACCTCTCATGTTGAATGAAGAAATATCCCAATTCCTGTTTCTATTTATTAGAGTCTCATCTAAATCATATAAGTATTGTTGTCATGATTTCCTTGCCTTTCCCTTTAAACATTTAAAATGGGACATTTCCTTTTTTTTTTTTTTGGGGGGGGGGGGGGGGGGGGAAGGGGTGGAGTTTGCAACCTATAGCTAATCCTGGCTGCTTCTGTATATTAGTCCAGTGGAAAGCATCAGTTCAGCAAAGAGAAACTGTCTGACAGACAGGAAAATACCCTATTGCCTTTAAAGTCAAAGCTCTAAATAATACTGTTTACTTTGCTGTAAACTTTATAGCTGAAATAATTTTCTACTGTAATTGCATTGCTACTGGCACATAGTTTATTTGCCATGTCAGGATCACTATTCTGTTCTAAAGAACCCATCCATTTTGCTGGGTCCTTAGTAAAGAGTCAGAAAAAAGTACTCCTGCTATATTCTAGATGTAGCCTGGTAGTTCAGCATGGTATAGTCTTCCTACTGAACAGATAATTGATTTCGCTAAAACAGATTTCAGGGGTTTTTGGCAATATGTGGCCTCTCCTAGTGACCATTTTTTACAGATTTTAGGTTTAACACCATGGTATGAAATAATATTACACACATATTTTATATTTTTAATGTATTTTGAAAACTGTTTGTTTGCTGCACAGGAAACAAGTAGCTAAACAAATATTTCTGCAGTAAGAAAATAATCCTGTGGAAGAGCTGAAGGTTTATTTGACTCATCATCCCTACAATCAGATTATTGTACTAGAGGCAAAAACAATTAACTAAAACACTTTGTCTCATATTGTTTAAGGAGTCTGTTCATATTGCTTATAATCTTAAAAGTTTTTTCTGGTCTTGATATCTATGAAGATCTTAGCTTTGTTCTGGATATTGCAGCTGAAATGAACTCAAATCCTAAGCGTATTTTAGTCATCCATTTAGAAGCAGAAGACTTGAGAAACTCAAGAGGGCCTTCTTTTATTTTATCTGTGTATTTTTTCTCTTATTAGAGAGATTTTTGGGGTAAATGAAATATTTTGGTACTTTTTTTTTTGTTTAATTTGTAGTATAGCAGATTATATCCTATTCTAGACAGATCCCATAAGAAAATTCAAATATAAAACTCTTTGCCAAGAAAAAGTTCAGTTGCATGATGGAGAGAAAGTCACAAGCACTTCCTGAGCATTCTGTTTAGCAGTTTACAATTAACTTTAGCAGACAGGGTTCATGAAATGTGCAAAATTAGAATGGACTTTACTGTTATTCATAGGAAACTTACCATATCTCAACTCTTGGTTATATCACATAAATGTAAAACAGTTTTGTAGGTGTTTCATAAGAGAAGAAATTCTCCACTTGTATAAAACACATTACCAAATTTTGCTAAGGAAATAGAGCTGTATACATTTGTATATGTAGCTGAAACAGCTTTGGAAAAGGGGAAATTTTTGTTAGTGCTCCTATTAGTGAATTTTGCTTTCTATTTTTGATGCATAAACAAATAACTATTTCTGTTCTCGGTAAGGGGGTAGGCCTGAAAGAGGTATCAGTTGTGATACAGTGGGTTTGAGTGCACCCTCAGCAAGCGTGCAGAGAACACCAAGCTGAGTGGTGCAGGTGGCATGCCTGAGGGGACAGGATGCCATCCAGCAGGACCTGGACAAGTTTGAGAAGTGGGTCTGTGGGAGCTTCCTCAGACACAACAAAGCCAAGTACAGGGTTCTGTGTCTGGGTTGGGGCCACCCCCAGAGTCAACACAGGCAGGGTGAGGAAGGGGTTGAGAGCAGCCCCTGCGGAGGGTTGGGGGTGCTTGTGGATGAAATGCTGGACATGAGCCAGCAATGGGAATTTGCAGCCCAGAAAGCCAATTGTGTGCTGGGCTGCATCCAAAGCAGCATGAGCAGCAGGGCAAGGGAGGAAATTCTTTCCTCTTCTCCAATCTTGTGATCCCCACCTGCAGCTCTGTGTCCTCCTCTGGGGCCCTCAGCACAAAAAAGGGGATGCAAGACCTCTCCACGAGGAAAGGCTGAGAGCTGGAGTTGTTCAGCCTGGAGGAAAGAGGGATTTGGGGAGACCTTATTGTGGCCTTTGAGTGTCTGAAGGCAGCAGACTTTTTAACAGAACCTGCTGCAATAGAAGAAAGGGTAATGGTTTCAATATTACAGAGGGTTGTTTAGAATACAGATAAGGAATTTTTTTACAATGAGCATGGTGAAACACTGGAGCAGGTTGCCCAGAGAGGTGGTAGATGCCCCAGTCTTGGAAACATTCAAGGACAAACCAGAAAGCGCTCTGAGAAACCTGATCTAGGTGCTTATTGCAGGGATGGTTGGGCAAGATAACCTTGAAAATTCCTCTACCCAACCTATTGTATGATTCTGTGAAAATCACATAAAATGAAACACATATAGGAATATAATAGGAGATCTGTTCGTGCCTAGGAAATTTCAGGATGCTGGAAAGAATTAATTTGTCGTGTAGTAATTAATTTGGCTTTTATAATTGAAAGCCAGCCCTATTTTGTAGTTAAACTGTCCAAGCAAAGAAATGCAGAACTTCACCTATAATGACTTTATTTTTCCACAAAAATCACATTGAACCCATAGTATTTTTCTTCTATCATTTGATGTCTCAGCTATTAAAATGTAACTTAATCCTTATAAGGTTTGGAGATAGAGGTTTTATTGCTAACTTAGATGTTTCTCAGGTTTCTTTTTAAAATATAGCAATGGTTAACTTGGTCTTATAGTTAGCTTCAGATGCAAAATATTTTAGAGGCAGTGTTTTTCACTCCAGCCATTTTTCATAAAAGTTCACAGGAAGCTGAGTGAGGAAAGCAGCTGGATGAAAAAGCTGGAAGGTTTATGATTGCTAGTAAGGATCCTCTCCTTCCCTGTCTAACCACATCTCTTTGGATAGGAGTAGCAGCTGTGGGAACTCCTGGAAGTGGAACAGAAGGATGTGTCTCTCACAGTTTCAGCAATATGATCCAAAGTTATCATTCTCTAATTGCAAATGTGTCTGACATTTAGCATTATTAAGCTTCATTTTATTGCTTTTCATTTAGGTCCCTGAATCCATTTAGCAAGTTGTGATTAATTTTCAGAGTTACCCACAGTCAGTAATTAAAAAGAAACTTTCTATCCGTATAATTGACAGGTGTGTACTTTAACACTACTTAGGAGTCTTAAAAAGGCAAAAATATAAGAGCAAATATTTTATTTAGCAACTTTCCAATACTACTGCAGGAAAAACTTCTTGATTTAAACACATCTTGCCACATGCACCTTTGTGCTTGAGGGGAACCTTTTATTCCAGTGAGGTGATGAAAGTTGTGACCAGGTTTATATGTTTGCCAAGATCACTATTTCCTTAAGTTTCTGGAAATAAAAAGTGGTTTCCTGCACTGGAGTTGGGTAAAATAGATGTCAATAAAGAGAATGTATGAGAAGAAGCTGCTCTGGACCTTCCTGTAACAGTTGCAATATCACATTACACAACTTTTATGTAACTCCTGGCTGTACTCTCTAATAAAAATTATCCTTCAAGCTTTAGTTTAATTTTATAAACTGTGCATATGTACAGTACAGAGTGTACTTTCATTCATATGCCAAAGATCTGCAGCCAAATCATTTACTATCAGCATAAGACTATTTTAATAATTTAAGCCCTTAATCTTCTTGATTGGTTTCTCTTACACACACACTCTGTCTTACTGACTTTTTAGTTGTCTGGGAATTGCTATGCACGCAATCTGATTTCAACATAAAAATGCTATTTCTTTGTAAAAATATTGTTTTTAAAATAGTGATGTGTAATGTATTCCTATAGTTATAGACTGATGGAAATAATGATAGTAAATTTGCCATTTTTAAGAGAAAAAGTGTGATTTCTCTGTTTTCCTGCATGAGGTTTTTGAAATTAGAGTGGAGATAGGGAGCATTATTACTATAAAAGATTTTACGTCATTAAGATTTACCAAATTTAATCAGGCATATACAGTCTACTTTATCCAGGTTATCAGATCTCTTGCCCATGATCTGTTATATTTCACTAAGCAACATGGGAGCTTGGAGGACTGAGATATTTCAGACCTGCCTGTGTCTTTGACAGCCTGAAAGAGAAGGACATGTGCACTGCAACTGCCAGCAGAAACCTCAGTGAGGTTTTTCCCCCTTAGCTTTCAGCCTATTTGTCTCCTTCCACTACTTCCTATATAAATTAACACTTTCTGGTGGGATAAACCTGTTATTAGGGAAATAAATTTAAAACAATTTGAAAAATACCTGTCAAGGTTCCTTGAACAATTAAATATGGAAGAGCATTTCAAAGGTATTTAACATTTTGTATATTACCTGTGTTGATTTAATTGATCACTGTCATTGTGATATGCTGTTACAATTTGAATTATTCTGTTACTACAACTTTGTTTTCTTTTACTGCAGGTTTAAGATTTTTAAGAGCCCTTAGACTGATACAGTTTTCAGAAATCTTGCAGTTTCTGAATATTCTTAAAACAAGGTAAGACTTTTTCTTACATGCTGATTTAGTTGCATTGGTGACAGAATGTAAATGGCTTTGGTTTGGGGCCCTAATGACGTATGATTTTCTTTTCTGGAAAAACCCCCCACTTGTTATCTGTTCTTTAAACCTTTTTCTGCTGATGAATGATTTGTCAGGACAGCATCTTTTGCTATGTGATCATTTTAATTGATGCATTGTTATATTTGAAATACCAAGCAAGGTTATGTGTTGATAAATTAAAAGCAGAATTAATTACATAGCTCTGTACAGACTAAACATTGCTTCTTTTCATATAGTCAGTTCATGTTCTGCTGTCTTGAAAAACCTGAAATCAAAATTCATTCAAAAGAATACAGTTAAAAAGTATTTTGAGTAATTCTCATTATGGCTCTTCCAGTTTTTTTGAACTGAGGATCTTTTTTCACATCAAAAACATTAAATTTACACTGAGCTATCTTTATATTGTGTTCATTATCCTTAGAATATCTTCCATATAATAATTAAAATACTCCAATTAACCTTCTGGCTTGCTGGTTCTTTGGCCTATTAATACATCAATATTGTGCAGGAAAAGCACAATTTTGGACAAAAGATCATTTTGAAGGAAATAAAGAGAAACCATCCCATGCCTTGCAGTTGAAGACACATTGTTTTTCATTGTTCTCTAAAGTGCTCCGGGGGAAGTATTGAACCCAGTTTCCAATAATTACTGCAAAATCAATTCCATTTTGAAAACTTGCTCTCTCTGCACCAGTTGTTATACATGTGTGAGGGCTTTATATGCAGGTAAATCCATTTCTTGCTGTGATAATTTGTAGCAATGGGAAAATAGGTGCTGAAATTTGTAAATATTCACAGTAAACAGCTGTTTCTTCAACCCTTAACCTTGAAACTATTCTCTGTACTGTAAAGCTCTCACACTATCTGTCTTTAGTTGTGTTACTGGAAGGAAGCCAATTCTGGTCAAACAAAGACATCAAAGAATGTAAGGTGAAGTCCCATAGCTCAGAATTCTCAGTATGGGAAAGGAGAATAGGATTTAATATGCAGAACAGCCTTGCCATGGCAGTCAGAAATGGCAGTCAGAAATGGCAGTCAGTGGAGAAGCCCCATAAACTCAAAGATTTTGGAGAAAAGCTAATAGTCCCTTCAGTAGTGGGGGATTTGTGAAATTCCAGATCCATAAATGTGCATTAATCACATTCAAGGTACTCAGAGCTGGTATATTTATGATTGACCTGTTCATTGAAATAGCCTTTCTCTGGTGCAGAATTTACTCTCTTATTAAATATCATAATCTCTGTGATAATTTATACGCCTGTCAAAATATCTATAAACCTCAAATGATGATTAGTGAAAGCCTGTAAAGCAAAACTTTCTTTTATGACTGTTTCAGTTTAGTCAGTTAATTCATCCTTAGCAGTTCATCACTAATACCATTTATTTAACTGAAAAATTGTCACTGCCCCAAAACAGTTTTTTATGTCTCTCCCAGTTCCTGGTAATGCAACAGAAAGTCATGTCTGCTCTCTTTATTGTCTTACTTAATAACCTGAAATGACCTGAATAATTTGGAATGTCAGCAATGTTCACAAAACTTTTTTTTTTTAATGGATGTTTCAAATTAAAACAAATTAACAGAATGCAATTTGTTTTAGAAGAGTTTCTAGTTACACCTGACATAAATTTAATTGTGTAAGTGCTTGGGGTTTCTTTTAATGCCTTGCATGAGTTTAGCTTTTAGAAAGAACAAGCTAGAAAATTAATTTATTATTGCTACTGCTACCTTCAATGAGAAATTTTCATATTTTCAGTGTGTTCTGAAGTACCATCAGAACTGCAGTTCATGTGCTGCACACACATTTTCCATTAGAGTACCAGAATACTCTTTAATTGACAGCTTCTGGTTCTGAATTATTTTGTTTCCTAAAAAAATAAAGCGCTGATCCGTTGTGATAGATGGATAATCTTTAAAAATTTTTACAAGCTAGAGCAGTAAAACTAGTAGTCTCAACAAATCTAGTATTATTTAAATAAAATTTGCTTCCCTTAATTCAATCAATGATTTCAATTACATACTGTGGCCTTAGACCTTTGTTATTACTTTAAAGTCTTATATGGTATTGTATGCTTTTGGCCCACTACTGCAACATTATTTTGCTCAGGAACGGTTAAAAATCTTCAAGAAGTAAGATATTTTAGCATTTTTTGCAATCCACTTCTAAAGTTTTATTGAAATTTTTGACATTTTAGGAATTTTGTGAGCATAAAGACCAAGAGTCAATGAACAGAACTTGAATTGTTGAATTGGGATAGAAAATTCAATGTATCATACTAGCTCTGAAATTATAGTAGGGGGAGAAAAAGTACTTTTTATTGTTTAAAAATTCAGCAAAAGAAAAGAGTTCTCTGTGTGAGGTGATATGTATTTATATGAGGAATGTATGGAACTAATTTGACCTAGGCATTTCAGTGCATTTGGCATTAATAATACAAAACAACTGAGAAGATGAGAAACTGATATGGTGTACTGGGTATTGCTGTGTTTTTAATATTTTTTGAAATTGCAGAGAAATTTTCTCCTCCTTTGCTCTTTTCTCCAGTAAAGAAAAACATTTACTGTAACCTGTAAATGAAAATTACTGCTAGAATTATTGACTGAGGTATGAGGATTAAAGGAATATATATTATTTACACAGTGAGCAGAAGTGCCATTCCAAAAACTGGAATACAGTGAAAAAAGCTGCACAGTGCAAAACCAGAGGCAGTAAGGAGACTAGCAGAGTGTTAGGTGGTTATTAGAATATCTGAAAAAAAAAAGCTAAATGTATTTGAAAAGATCCTGTAAGACAAAACAAAATTTTACAGTGGCACTTTAAAATACTGTACTCTGCCAAGGACCCCTTTGTTTCTCTTATTTGAAATTAAATTTATTTTATTCAAGAATTTTTGTTCCCATGTTTTATGAAATCGAATTCTACAGTTTTCAGTTGAAAAATTTCTCTCCTTCATTGTTTTCTAATATTTTTCAAAAAATCTGCAGGGGCTTAGGCAGGGCTCACAGTAAGGGATTTTGCACAGATGTTGGAAAGAGCTTAAAGAGGGAGAAAATGTTTATGACTAATCCTTCATCTATATTTAGACTCTGGCAGAAACACAGGGAGTATTTCATAGAGGACAGACAAGGCACAGTGTTTAATAAATCTTCAAAAATAAAATGTACCAAACAAGTCATGTAAATAGTTACTGTTAATGGGTATTCCAGTGATATGAAGAGACCAACAGACACGTAATTTTTTTATCAGGAACATCTCGTGTTCTAAGCTCAGGTGAAGGAAGATACTCAGCCTTTCATAATGGAGCTTTGCATCAGCATCACTCCTAGGATTTTGTTTAATCTAGGAACCCATTGGTTAGAGTCCTGTTCTGTAAATGAATGTTACCACTAAGAAAATAGGGACTTTAATCAACCATAGTTTAAGAAAGAGAGAAATAGGGAATATATGTTGGTGCTGGTGAACACTAATGACAAGACTGCTGATATACTATTTTATTTTTGAGTACTGTATTCATTTCATTATCTATCATATTACCCAGTCATATTCTATTTCTTGCACTCCCATATGTCTATTAACTGTAACTTTAAAAAAAATCTTTTAAGGAGCTGTTCTGGTTAATTTTACAGGTTATTTTGTTCAGAAAAGAATGCATTTTTATTGCCCTTAAAGTGGTTATAAACAGAAACATCAATTCTACCACAAATTACTACTGCTAACACTGATAGTGAATTTTTCTCAATTTTTATATTTTTTTATATATTGCTTGAAGGGTAATTGTGGGATCTTTTCTGAGGTGTTACACCTTCTTATAAATATTTTCAAAAGCAAGAATGTGTAAGATTGTTTAAACACAGTCATACATGGACAGCACTTCCTCGTGTTTCTGTTGACTATCCTTCTTAGGACAGTGACTTTTCTGAGAAGAGAGGGGAGCAAGTTTTATTTGCATTTCTTCTAGAAGACTTTACGCATGGTATTTTCCTGCTGAACTGAGTGAGGTCCATGTTTCAAAATCCCTTCTGGCTAGAATAGGGCAAATAATACTTAGTGAGACTAAAAAGCATTTGCAGATTTTTTGGTAGGTTTAAAGAATACTTTTTTCTTCTTTTAGAGAAAAATGTGAGTGTGAAGTATGAAATACTCTAATTTCATGTGAATTTTCCCTAAATAAGTCCATAGGAGTTCATGCAAGCAGAATAATATGGAAAATACTTAGGATTTTGCACAGGAACTCTGAAATACCTTAGTTCTTTCATCTGGGAATCATATTTTCTTATGTATTTTTAATGTATTTATATGTGAATAATTCTGAGTGTATAGCAGTGAAAAATGAAGAAGTGAGTGTACTGAGAGGCAGGCAGATTATCTGTGAAAGAGCATTATTTTTTTCTATTAGTTTGTTTTTGACTACTGATGTACCTAAGGTTTCTGTTTGTCTTTCTCCTCTCATACATTGGGACTTTCTTTTCAAGCTGTCTAAATTATGAAAATGTGAACTGTCCAAAGGAAAAATAATACATATTATACATAAACTTTCGAATAAGTTTTTTAGGAAATCTTTCTTTTGGGAAGTAATCATCAGCTTCTTCAATCTAAAGTTTGTAGTTGTATACAAGTACTTATAAAATATATGTGACAAATTCTAGTCTAAACTCCTATTTGCTTTGTTTATTTCCAGTAATTCCATCAAGCTAGTGAATCTGTGCTCTATATTTATCAGCACGTGGCTGACAGCAGCTGGGTTCATACATTTGGTGAGTGCATTTCCAAACACTTCACTGACTTTTCCTGCTGCACCGTGGGCTCCGAGCTGCTTTCCTGCTGCTCTCGGCAGTGCCGGACAGAGTGCAATAAAGGGCGCTCCGCTCTGTCCGCGTCCCCGCGCTCGGGCCGGCTCTGCGCGGGGCGCGCCAGGGGCGCGGGGAGCGCTGCGCGCCAGGGGGCGCTGCTGGCCCGGCAGCGCCCCGAGCGTGCGGCCCGTGCGGGCCCTGCCGCCGGCGCCGCTGGGAAACTGCGCCCGGCTGTGCGGGATTGATCCCAACTCCTGCTTTTCTTGCCGTGTCAGTCGCTTACTGCGCCCAGCTATGCGGGATTGCATCCCAACTCCTGCTTTTCTTGCGGTATCGGTCGTTCAATGCTCGCCCTTAAAATGATGTACAGAGATTTTGAGTGTTTTAATTATGTATTTTCTATTTTTGAACAAACAGAGTACAACACCCCTTAAATGTTACATCAAGACCAAGGGAATGTTATTTTCTAGGACTTGGAATTTTTTCCTTTTGTTTTTCAATAAAAGCTTTTCTATTCTACTCTAGGAATACTCAGACTTCAACTTTTTCCTATGGAACAAATTTTAGATGGCACACTTCTTTGCCACTGAAAAATTTATAATTTTGTCTTAACAGTGGCTGGCTTTTTTGAAAAAAGTATTAGCATTCCACTAAAGGTGCTAGTAATGCTTTCAATGGCTTCATAATATTTCAAAACAAAAACACTGAGGAGTATAATTGCATTAAAAGTAAGATTTACTCTGAAAATATTCTGAACACATTTTTATTAAATGAACTTACCAAACTACATGAGTAAGTTACATTATTTTGTGGTGCCTGGAAAAGATACTTCCCATAAATGATCTGAGTAGCAGGGCTGTATATATTGGCAAAAGTACTGCAGGGCTCTATTTGGCACAGGGTCAGGTTCTGTATTTGATGAAAATAAATCACAGGAAAGGATTCAGTGTTCATATTATGTGCCAAATTATATATCTATATACATGCACAGGCACGTGCATATATGGGTAGAGTTAATTCGGGGTTAATTAGAGTCAGTTATAATTAATATAATTCATTACATGTTTTCTTGTACATTGTAGGTGGAGAACTCAGGGGATCCATGGGAAAATTTCCAAAATAATCAACCGCTGACATACTGGGAATGTGTTTATTTGCTGATGGTTACAATGTCCACCGTTGGCTATGGAGATGTTTATGCAAAAACAACCCTTGGTCGCCTTTTCATGGTCTTCTTCATCCTTGGGGGATTGGTAAAAATTCTTCTTTATATTCTTCTTAATACTCCAGTTACCTTAAAACTTAATCCTGTATATCTCAATGTTGTAATTAAAGAAACACTAATATCTGGATTAGTGAACTAAAATTAATTATAAAACATTAAAGTATGTTTAATATGCATTTTTTTCCTGTAGATAGATATTTCGGCAGAGCTTGTCAAATTAGTCCAGAATTAGAATTTTTCTAATCCATTGAAATGAGTAATGCATGTGAATACATGAAGTGCCTTAATATTTCAACATCTAATGTTATTTGTAGTCCTTTACTTCTTAGTGACTGATTGTAGAGCATTTTTGGGGGTTGCTATTGATATTTAAAGGCACTTTGCGGTTTCAGAAGTCCTACCCACCCTTCTGTGTTCCTTCCCAGAATTCCAACAAACACTGTGGCTTTGGACTGCCTTAAAGAGCAGCTTGCCTGATCCAGATGATGGCAAATCACATTCTATTTAATTTCAAGCTTCCTTTCATGTCATGTAGTACAATTGTAGCTCACAGTTTATCACATGACCATAACTGGTATCCTTTTGTATCAGCAATTTCTCGTGTTCTTTATCCTATATGTAAATAGCACCCAAGTTACTATTTGTCTTGCCAACTTTTCCATTATTTGTTAGTGCTAGTAATATTATTACACTTGTTGCAATGTTCTATAAACTAGCCAAGTTTATTTTAGTATTTACCCTGTGCAAGGTAAATGCTATGCGGATGTAATGTGTATTGTGCCCACACACACACATGCATATTGTTACTTTACCCCATCCATTGGTTTCACATATACATACATCTCACAGAGGTGGTATGTATATAAACAATGTTATGAATGCCATATATTAGACACACACAGATGTGTATGAGCGTTACATATATGCATTCTCATCTGTTTATTGGCATGTGAAGACAAAGATCATGTCAAATGGCAGTAGCTCTTTGAAGTATCCAGCCACAAGGAAGCTGTTTGTTGGACAAAACATGGCAGAATAAGTTTTATTTTCTCCTCAAAACCTTTTTTCTATCACATGTTATTCCAATACTTCTAAACCCAAGAACTTTTGGAAACGTTTTTTTGGGTGGCGGTGGGGTGATTTTTTTGTTTCTTGATGGGGAAATAACCCCTGATTTAATCTTGTTTTTGTCTTCTTTTAAATTTTTACAATGGGGGGAAGAGTGTGTTTTAAAACAGAAATGTAACAGTAATGATAATACTTGGTTTTGGTTTTTTTTGAGTGGGGCTTGGATAGGTTTTTTCCCCCTCCCCTCTTCACGAAGAAATAGACATAACTGTTTTTTGTGGTTAGACACCAGTTTGAAGTAATTTTGTTCTTGTTTTGTTTTACATGTCCATTTTTCCTCTTTTGACCATTTTCTTTATTTATAAGGTGTGTACCTTTTCTAAAACCAACTTTTACATTGAACCCTCTTGTTTTGTTTGATAAGAAATTTTTTATTTTTTAAACATTTTCTTTTTAAACAACTGCATAGATCTAATTCTTTTGCATTTTCAGATCTTAAAAATATATATCTTCTGAAAATATTCATCATCCCCCTTTCTTTGGCCTCTCTTTTTAGTCTTTTCTTCTGTCTCCTATCTTCTTCTTAGGCCATGTTTGCCAGCTACGTCCCTGAAATCATAGAGTTAATAGGAAACCGCAAGAAATATGGTGGTTCCTATAGTGCGGTTAGTGGAAGAAAGTAAGTATCCCAAGAGGCTCTGCTGCCTCTGCTGCAGTAGAACACTCTCTGCATGCCATTTTCTTTTTTTTTTTTTGTGTTTTTGTTTCATGCATGTAGGCAATGTTTGCTCGCTACGTGCCAGAAATTGCTGCTCTCATCCTTAATCGGAAGAAATACGGCGGAACTTTTAACTCAACCCGAGGCAGAAAGTAAGTCCAAAAAGACCAGGTGTGGTTGTGGGACTCTAAAGAGCCCCTGAAGGTGGTAACAGCTGACTCACAGCTTACAAGGCTGTGTTCTTTGACATCAGATGTTACCACTGGAGAGTTGTCACACTATAATTAGAGACCTGGGCTGTGCTATGGTACAAGTCACAACATTTTGTCCCTATGTCAAGAGAACTTGGATACCACTCAGACTACACTGATACATCCTGTAAAAACTGCTGCTGTTACATATGCAGTTCACTTCTGCAGCGAGGGTGAATTGTCACTTCACCATTTTGGGCATCAGAATTATCATGTTTGTCTCTTAACTAAGTGACAATGATAATTTGCATGATTTTCAGACAACTTCAGAAAACTTTGTTTTACTGGATGCAAAATAGGAGATACATATTTACCAGTTTGTTTGGTTGGACTGACTATATAAGAAGTCTAATAGCCCTGTTTCTCAATGTTCAACCAGCAGAGTCAGATCTCATGCAGCTTTTTCTGACTTTCCATGGATATTGCAAACTCTCATGAGTTTAGAATCTGTGACCAGGGATTTTAAAGCAGTTCTCTTCCCTGTATCACATTAAGTGTATCTGAAGAAGAGTAAGCAGTAGCCTTAACAAACAGTATGGTAAAAAACCAAACCTACTATTTTTACCTGGTGGCAAATGTTAAATTTTATTGGACCACATTACCTCATTACATTTCTCTTGAAAGCCTGCTTGTTTTTTTGACCAAGTTAAAACTAGCTCCTTCTGGCATTCCCAGCTCCTGGTTGTGCTGGGATAAAGCCTTTACTGAACTAGATATCCTCAGCAAAATAGAGACATACAGCACAATATCACCTTTAGTGTTGCCATCCTTCATTTCATTACATGCCATTGTGACATCCACTGGTAGAGTATATTTGCCCTGAAAGTCTAGTCATATGGAGTCCTTTTCATATGATATAAATTAAAGTACTGCAATAAATTTATCTAATGAATTGTCCCTCTTCTTACTTTAAGAAGATAATTTTTACTAGGTTCCTTTCAAATCATTACCCATGCAACATTCTGTTGAAGTGGATTATGATTTTATCAAGTTATTTCTCTGTGCAGCAGAAAGAGTGTACCTGTCTCACAGAGCTAATTCTAGAGCATTTTGTATCACTGTGAAGATAAATAAAAGTTTTAAAATTAGATATAACTTATACTGTTTTTTCCTCAATAATACTCAAGCAATTAGAGAACTTCAATATGTGCATTTATTGAGATACCCTCAGATGTCCAAGGTAAACTGTAAACACTGATGTTGAAAGCTTGCATCACTTACCTAGACAAACTAAATGCCTTGATTTGTTTCTGGGAATGAGTAGTATTCTTAATTTCCCAAAATATTTGTCACAGACGCCAGGACAATTTCATATTTATATTCATACTTGTTTTCTCAAAGAGAGGTTTTCCAAACTCAGAACGTATCCCTCTGTTTTCAAAGCTCTAAAGGAGTTATAGCAGAGGGTAATATGGTTAAAACCTGTTTTGCACAGAGTTTGTCCCTTCCCTTCTACATTGTCACTAGTACCCGGCATTGCTCAGATGTCTCTAAATTTGGACCTGATCTTCAGTCAGAAACCCACATCCTGAAAAACTCAACTTCAGATTACAGGCTTCTGCTAGCTTTGGGGCGTGCTTAATTTTTATTTTTTCACTTTTCGTTTTTGTCTTTCTTTATATGCATTGTCTATTTGTTTTTATCTCACTCTGTCGTCAGTGCTTTTTTTGCTGATCTCTACTGCTCATATAATTTGTCGCTTGAAACTCATCTCTGTCATCAGCATACAAACTGTTCAATTTACTTTATGCATTGTTTTCTGGTTCAATTATTAATTACTAAGTAGTTTAAAGATGTCCTGCTCATGTGGGTCTTTCATCAGAGAATCTAAGCTTGGGAACTGCACAGTAAAAAGCCATTAGGACCCCTTGTTTGATGTTGCTTTTGCAGTCAGTAGAACAAGATTGATGAAATGTTATGTTTGGCCAAAATTGAAGTTTTCATTTGGAATTCAGTGTTGAGAGAATGGATTGTCAGAACCAATAAGTTTTCCTTTGCTTGGGATATGGGCATGTGGTAGTAATTAGCAGTATAAGGTCTTTAGTTGAGCAACCAAGCATAGATTCTGGCAGCAAAAATAATGAGAAACTACAGTTGTTCTATTTCTTATGTCAGAAAGTTTCCAGATTAAATACATTTCCAATATGAAAACAGCTGAATTTTGGTGAAAGATATAGTTTCAGCCCTTGAAACAGCAAATGTGTGTACTTTTTAACTCTGTACAAAATGGATAAATGCATGGAATCTGCTTTGCTTCATCTGTATATATGTTTATACATTGTCGTGGTTTAACCCCAGCTAGTAACCATGCCAGGAAACAGCACAATGTGTTGCCTCCTAAACTCAGTGTGTGTAATAACATGATTATTAAACATTTAATCAGAAATTAAAACCAGAGTATGATTAGGTATGTTTTGAGTTTTGCACTAAGTGACTTTAATACTATGGAGAGCCTTGCTGCAGAATGGTTACTATAAAGGAGCTAGAATGTATGCATAAGAATTATTGATACAAACTTCACTAACTAAAGAAGAGAAATAACAAACACGTCACATTTGAGCTCACATTTCATTTTGCTTTTCAGCCAATAAAGTCCCCAGAGGATCATAAACTATATAGGATTCATTTTGCATAATAAAGAACCTTATTTTTGTTTTAGATGAGACCCATACATAGAAACTTTGGAAATAAAAGTAGTTTGAAGACAGTTATCACTGGTTAAACTTACTAGATAATAGGTTCATTTAGTTGTGAAAGTCCACAGGGAATTTTTTAGATTTAAAATGGAGTTCTAATTTCTGCTTTGTAATTTTATTGTAAGGTGACTTCTGAGAAACAGGAATATCTTAATAGTTTTTGATTGAAGTTTCGTCTTCAGCTATTAAATAAACAGCAGTACTTACTGTTGCATTTATACCAACATGTCTTTACCAATATATCTATACAAAATTTATTCTGTGTTTACTAATTTACTTTTCAGTCAAGATTGTGCTTGTTCCATTTCCGTATTTGCGTGTGCATACAATCAGACTGGATTTTAATTCTCTGAAATATTTTGCAGTTGAAGATACTAATTTATTGTAAATCAGTGTGCATGAAGCTCTAGAAAGCATATGAAAAGAACATTTGTAAACTGATGAACTCAGCCTGATTTTTTCGGTCTTTACATTGAATTAATGACTTCTAATTCCATGGACTAAATTATTTTGTCTTTTTTGTGCAATACTGCTATCAAGTCTGATGCAAAGTCTTTATGAGGGCAGAAAGTAGAACACAGCTTCGCATGAGTAGGTATGGCAGAGAGAGCAATGACCTGGCTGAGCAAGGAGGTTGGGCCACAGGAACCACTGTGGTCCCCTCCAACCTGACCCATTCTGTGATTCTGGCTGTGTTTATATAAGCTGCTTGCTTTGTCAGCATAGTACAGGTTTATGCTAGACTTCATTGCAGATTCAAAAGATGTAAAAATAAATTATCCAGAGGCATTATTGTAGTTAATATGTAAGATTAAAAAAGCATTTTAATGAAATCACAGCCCTTTACTGTATAAGGTATTAGAACCTCCTGTTTCTCTTCACTCATGATCTGCTTTGCTTCCCAGAGATTTCTACAGATTTCTTAAATTTACAAGCCATAAATTACCAAATCATCAACATATCAACAGGAATAATCATCTGTTAGAAATTCCTTCCAGAAGGAAACATGGGATTCAATAACTAAACTTCACAGAGGAAAATAAAAACTGTAGACAGATAGATATGGTAAACAGAAAGACAAACAGATAATTTAAGTTGACAGGTCATATTGGACTCATTAGACATATGAATTTCATTACAAATTAGAAAAAAGAAAAGTTAAGGCTTAACCAAAGAAAAGGTCCATTTGCTGCAGTAATGAGAGGCATAGCTCCAAAGAAAGTGACATTAAATTCTTATATTAAATAATTTGATGCAAGATGTAAGATATTATTTTTTCAGTGGGATGAGAATGTAATAAGAGAATGTGACATGGATTACATTATGGTCCCAGGGGTGTCTCTATTTCCCATCTGCTTGCCATTCTTCTAATCCCACTTTTTCAAATGAAATTTCACTTAGTGATAAAGAAAATCTGATGAGTGTTAAATAGACTGACAGATAGAAGAAATAGGAGAAACTTCTTTATTTTCCAATTTTGTGTGTATATGAAACTATATCCATTCTTTTGAAAGTAAGAAGGGAAATGTGGGAAGTGACATATAAGAACATCATGACTTTAAAATGTGTATTTGAGATATCATACCATGTTCCATTCCTACAATTATAGCACTTCTTTTATATTTTCAATTGAAGTTTTAAAAGTTCCTTTTCTCTGCTTAAACTTTGAAAAAAACCTTTTGGATTTGGCATCAAATAGCAGTAGTTGCTGTTCAAATTTTGACCCAAGAAAGACTGAATCTGGTTTATGCATCTGCTGATCTACCATATTCTACAAACTGTACAGTACATGGCATTCCAGGCTGTGTAATGTGAGATGGCAGAAGTGATTAATTGTTCAGCAAGTTTTAGAGACTTCTTGCTTTCACTCACGTTCTGTTGCAGAAAATTACTCATGACATTTTGGGATGATTTCTGTGCAGAGAAATGCACTGGCTCTGCTTATGGATGAAATGCTCAAAAATCTGAAGAACCTTTCTTAACTCCTGCATTGCTTACAAAAGATTTAATTATT